ACACACTATGGTATTACACTTGTACCAAAAAAGTTCCCTATACCTTTTTGAAGACAAAAGATGCTAAAGAAGAATCCCTATATACTAAAAAAATTAAAGTAAATTTTGTTGATACACTCTCTAGGAACTTATTTTTGGGATACAGCAGTCCCATCTGGATCAGAAAACAGCCACAATGTAGTACAGTTAAGCCCTGACAAAGATTGATACTACCTTCTCACACCATACCCTACACTTATGCAGCCACCAAAACAATTTTTACCAGAAAGCCTTAAAGTTATTGCCCGCAACCCAAAAATCGATTTACAATCGATCGGCATATAGTCTAAATCCGACATTCGACACCATATACGTTCACAAGAATTTCAAGAATTAATCATAAAATTGGACACTATACAAAGACATTCCATAGATCAAAACCTACGCAAACTTGCAGAAACAGCAGGCTTTTCAGACATCTACGCACAAGACTACAGCGGATATTTTACAGATATAAAAGATTACATTTACCTAAATTGTGGAAAATACAGACCAAAAGATATATCACCAATAAAAATTTTTAGCTTCGTAAATTTGAAAAACGAACTTCTTGCCTTTCTAGGAGGGCACTAATACATCTTAGAAAGATTGACTATAATATACGCAATGTTTAATTTTCTTGGATTTCTTTTTTCTCTTCTAAAAGGAAGCTACAATACATGCGCAATTCATTCATAAGACTATATATAATCATAAATTTTATAACCTCTCTCAAAATACACCTTATGAACTCTAACCTAGCACTGAGGAGCACAACGTCATTAAAGCACTTGAATTGCTTTGGCCATTTCTTCAGACTAAATACATCATCCGTTTGGTAGCTAAATTACTAACATCATCAAAGATCATCCACGAAGTTTTCCCGAACGGAGTCTTCACCAACGAATAGGTAATATGAATTAAATAATTTACTAATAAACCTGAAAAGAACTAAATGTTCTTTATAAATGTTTTCCCTTTTTCTATATTTTTCACAAGCACGATCATCAATCATCTACAAAAAAGAAAAACGAAACAAAAAACAGAGATTTTTTTTCTGGAACCATAAATTTTTATAAACCAATTCAATAAATGAAGCAATAAAAATTTCCCATACAAAGCAATAAATTAATATCAAACTTTTTCCCCCATGCTGTAAATATTTTTACAATTGAAATCAAAATTAAAATTTCAAACCCCAAATCAAGCAAAGAAAATTAATAATTTCAAAGTAGTAAGTTATTAAAAATTGTCTATAAGTTGAAGCAGTTCAAACCTTTTCAAAGACGCTTCTTTATAAGTTTAAATATTCACTCGCCCACAATTTCTATCCACAATCGCACAGCTCGCCCACGAAGAATTGTTTAAAATAATGAATTTGAGTTTAACTTTCACTGATAACAACTCTAACCAGTTTGAACACGTTTCAAATTTTTCTTTAACCCGGTTAGAAAGGAACTATATAATAGTCCAAACTAACCAACGCAAGCTTACTAAACACCGCAAACCACAACTTAACAGTGTGACTAAGGAAAGAAAACCCACAGTACCCAAACTGGATTAACACCAGCTTAGAACTGGATAAATTATTCTTTTGTAGTATACTTTTAAGTCTGAACACAAAAGAATAAAACACTGAAAAAAACGAAAGACAAACCCAAAATTAACAATTTGATTTTTGAGAAAAAAACACAACCTAGACAAAAAAGGTAAAAACCAGTAATGAAAAGGCATGAATACAGCACCGCAATTACAAAACCTAAGCCATAACCATCCCCAATCCATAGTAGCAAGAAATTTCGGAAATATAGCTCTGACAAACCTTATTTCTTCAAGATCTAACTATCCACAAAGCCCAATTCAACACATCATAACCCAACAACCTAAAAAAGAAGACACATACGAACAAATTGTTTAATAAACCACATATCACTAATTTTCGTTCTCAGAACAACCATCTTTTCAGCCCACAATGAGCCGCCAAGTTGGATCACTCCACCGCTCAATTTCCTACCCAGCCAACCTTCAAAGCAACCTCCCTATCATCCCTTTTTTTCTTTCCCCCCACCTCAGTTGCCTCATGATAACACTTCATCCAGCATGGATTCAGACACTAATTCAAACACCACCCTATATAATACTATTTCCCAACTCGATGACTCCGTCTTGAAACCCCCGACGAATTTGATAACTCCGAACCCAGCCCACCTATATTTTCCCAACCTCCCTTTCAACCTCTCCATTGCCAATCAAAATTGAACCCTTTCCACTCCCTCTTCTATTTCCAACGTAGCACCCCAATTTTTCCCTTAACTAGTGACCTTTCCGACAACAAAGCTCTATACATACGCAAATATCTCACGAGATTGAAAATTTAATCACACAGCAACAACAATTACAGCACCCTCAAACACTAACTATTCACCAACTCTCACAATCTATATCATCAAATCCATCATACCTAACTCCCTCGTCAACCCCATCCTCAGTACAAACAGAGCCTACCGTACCTTTAAAAGAAAATTCCCCAACACTCCATTTCCCTCTAACCCAGGAACATCCAAAACATTTGTTTCTCATCCCCTCCACACTAACACCAAAGAATTTCTCCAAATATGTTTACTTTTTTTCCCCAGTACACATAATTTCTTTCAGATCCCAATGACGAAACCTCAAATTATGTAAATGAGCTTGTGTTTTACCCTACACTTTCATGGTCATCATACTATCACTTTACTAATCCACTATCATTAACATTACATAAGACCCCTCATGACAACGAACAAGGCAGCACTCAATACAAGTAATCACTCATCAAATTCACCGCATCAAAAACTAACGAATATTCTATCGACCACTATAATCATAACATCATAAGACCTAACAAAGACATTTACCTAAATGACTACAAATATGCTAACCCACAACTAACCGAAAATTTTTTTAGAACACTATATGTTTTCACCCTCAACACCTTAGACAAAAAGGTAAAAACCAGTAATAAAAAAGGCATGAAAATTGAACACAAACAGGACCCTCCATAAAAGAGAGCATACAATTATACCCTCACTACTGGCCTAACCCACCAAAGAGGACGACCTGAGCATGCTCTGTAGCCGGCCGCACCCACCGTGCTACATCCACGCTTTGTGACCCACAACTCTATTTTTGACGAGTGTTACTCAAGTGTGAGTAGCTCTTGAAAATAACCGAACTAAACAATAGCGCTTTTGCGATAAAAACTAATACAAGACCATGACTAAAAACAAAATTAACAAAGATTTGTAAATTTAAATAATACAATGCAGTATATAGATAACATACAGCCCAAATACGAGCAGCAATGAACCTGACAACCCAATCACACTCCAACTAAGGAATGGCAAAACATACCTGACATGCTGCCTACAGTCACTACACTCAACGGATTTAAAGTACGACTTGACATTGCAGCAAAGAAAACTCATTGCATCCGAACGAGGGCCTTCTCGATGTTCAAGTATACGTACAGATCCAAGTCACCAGGCACTGCATCCAAAGTCGAACTACATGCCATTCCCGAACGAGAATGAGAATAGCAATGTTCCTATCAACCAGATAACACTCATCACAACTGATCGGAAATCATGATACGATCTCCCGAAACGATCGTGATGACAACTCTTCTTCCAAACCAGAAAAAAGAATATGCTCGCAACCTGTAAAGAAAAACACCATCATCTATCCTCCACTACAATAGATCACTGAAGAACTAAAAATCTCTAAACCCCGGATGGGTGGAACCAGATCTAAACTAGTATTTATCATTGGTTGTTATTATGATATTTTATCTCTATAAAAAATTGAATACTAACCAATCATACTCCATCAAACTAACAACCCACTTATTTGTAAGTGTTGAAACTACTTGTAGTATCAACACCAGAACAATTTGAATTAAACTTAGAATACAGTTGTTCTCATTCTGGAACTAACTCGCATAAACCTGTGTACACTAGATCTATTGAGACTATCAGATAAAAGAGTAGTATTAAGATCGGTATAAGACTTAGAAGTTGCACGAATTTATCCGGCCGAAAATAAGATAGCGTGACGAGCAGACGGTTTACTTTATCTGAAATTACTCTATGAGTGTAGTACTTCATACATAACTCAGTTTTTTATCAACAACTCGCATGCGGTTCGGAATTTTCTTGGGAAAAAGAGAGCTTTCATAGGGTTTTAATGAGAGCTCTAAAAACCATTCTCTTTGCCCTATAAAACTCGAAATGAGTTTCATAAGATTTTTGAAAATACGCTACCTCTTCTTTGATCAACTTTCTGCGCATGCCATTGTTGATAATATCTAGCTATGTCTAATAGAAACAGCAAAAGCTCGTAAGTAAGGGTTGCTATAATATATTGAGAAAAAAAACAATTGTTTTTCAAAACAAGAAAAAGCATGTATCTGCAAAATTAGCAAACTATGTATAACTACATGACTATGTGACTAAAAGAACAGTCAATCAGTTAGTTGCTTTTGAAAACAAATATATTTGTTTCATGAATACAGTTCAATTAAATACATGTCATATATAGACACTTCGTTTCATTGATTATATAGTTTTATAGTTTGTGCCTGGTTACACATAAACAGCCCGTACCGAACTTTTTGGCCATAATCATATCTGATCATTGTAAAATCATGCAAAATTCATGTCTGTAACAGATATGCAGCATGTCTATATTCGGCATGCACATACCTGCATCAGACCTGCATCAGGTGTGCTAACTGAAGATATGCTCACACCTGCAGCATGCATGATCATGCCTGAACTGAACATGCTCACACCTGCAGGATGCATGATCATACCTGAACTAAACATGCTCACACCTGCAGGATACATGATCATACCTGAACTAAACATGCTCACACCTGCAGGATACATGACCATGCCTGAACCGAATATGCTCAAATCGTTATCTTCAGTATTATAAGATAATTAAAGAAATGGTTAAATTGTAACAACATCATAAACTCAGCTTGATAATGTGACACTTTACTTCAAATTTTAAGTTTTTTTTTCAGATTTTTTTTGACATTGGTGAAGTTTTTTGTTGAAAATTTACTGTAGCGGTTAGATGCATCTTTCTTTAATTGCCAGCAGGGAGTCGTTGGTAGCGGGGCGTGTGGATACTTTTCTCTGTTTCCTGTCAACATAAGCTAATTGTTAGTCAAAAATTCATCACTTTAAATAAATGCTTAACAAATAAAACTAGACAAAAATCATGCGTTAAAAAGTAGTCGCATATTTGTTGTTAATTTATTCAATGAGATTAGTAGTATCAACCAATCAAATCTTTTTAATTTATTCGCAATTATTGTGGCTACTGGTTTGCGAAAATTTAAAGATTTTTATGTTCCAATCAAATTTTGCAAAAATCATGCGCTAAAAAGTAGTCGCACATTTGTTGTTAATTTATTCAATAAGATCATCAGTATCAACCAATCAAATCTTTTTAATTTATTCGCAATTATTGCGGCTACTGGTTCGCGAAAATTGAAGGGTTATTGGCCAAAAAATTTTGTGACGAATTGCTTCAATTCAATGCTTTATAGTTCAAACCGGGGATTCTTAGTTTTTTCGACTATCCCTCCCGTTGACCCCCTGAAATTAACCTGAAGTCCTCTTTTTTGGGATGTAGATGCGACATAATTTTCTTCATTTGAAGATATTTGACTCGAGGAGGTAAATTTGGATAAGCTCATTTCAAACAAAATCTGAAAAAGTGAAATTTTTAACAAGAAAGACCAATTAGTCAAGATAAGAAGTAATGTATAAATAAATATGAATTTGTCAAGTTTTCAGTCAGTCGTTATCATGTCTGCGACAGGCATGAACATGTTTCACTCAGGTCTGATCATGTAAGATCCAGGTATGACCACGTCTGTAGAAAAATACGCATGCTCACTTGTGAACAGCCCTGCATAATGGGGGAACAGTCCTGAGAATATTCTCTCCCCTGCTAAATGGATGATCAGCCGTGAAATGGCACAAAAAGTTCAGTACGGGAGAGTTTTATCAAAATGTCTTGGTTACAGCCGGCAAGAGATGCAGTCGCGGAAATCAAAAATTCGAAAACGGAATCTGCTTCCTTGCAAGGCTTTCTGAATTTGTCTGACTTTTATGTTAAAAATGACAGCAATTTGGACACTGAATTCTGCAAGGAGATGGTTCGCTTGAATTTCATTGGGTTAATCACATCTGCTGACAAATTAAATGCAAATCCAGTTAAAAAGATTTCTTCGAGAATGCTTTTCAACATGAGTGGCGAAAGTATGGAGATTTGCAAAGATATTTTAGATAAAAAGTTTCATCTTCAGCTTGTAAAAGCTCTGAAAAGCGTGTCTGTAGCGGACGCCAATCGATATCATCTGAACGAAGAAGTTCATGGTGTAATTGAAAGAACGTTGGGAACTTTATTCAATGTTCTCGAGAAAATCCCCGAATCACGAGCAACCATTCGCAAAACCGGGATATACGAAACTCTGATTGAATTCCTTGATTTATTGGACTCATCGCTAAAGTATGCTGTCATTCTCCCCTTGCCTTATCTTATTGATTGGAGTTGCAAGCAAAACAATCAGGTGCTTAGAAACAGTAAATCAAACATAGGTTTTTTGTTAAATGATATTGGAACCTGATCTAAACTACATTTTATGATTGGATAAATTAGATATTTTACCAATGTAAAGTATTTAATATTAACCAATCATGATCCATCTAACTAACAACCCACTTATTTGTAAGTGCTGAAGTTACTTGTAATTTCAGCACCAGAGAGATTTGAATTTAACTTAGAAATTAGTTGGACTCTCCCGAGCACTTCAGCAGCCGCAATAAACCAGTATACCCTAGATCTATTGAGCCTAGCAGAGACTAGTTAAACAACCTGAGACTAGATAGTATAAGAGTAAGATTAGGATCGGTATTAGACTAAGAAGTTGCACGAATCTATCCGGCCGAAAATAAGATAGCGTGACGAGCAGACGGTGTACCCTATCCGAAATTACTCTATGAGTTATACACTCCAGTCCTAACTCAATATGTTGGCTCAATTCACTAAGGAGTCTGACAAAACACAAAAATTAGCAAAAGGACTATTTGGATCACGAATTCAGTTCAGAGCTGACGAATTTCTTCAACCTCTGTCATATCTAGCAAAAAACAAACAAAACTCAATTGAGTTGTTAAAAGAAGGGGTAATAGCAAAATGTGAAGTCATTTTGATACGAGCAGCTGTTGAATCGTTCGATGGTTACAAAAGTTCAATGTCTAATTTGGGATCTAAGTGGGCTCTTAATCTGCTTGATTGCATAAGTACCCATGGAATATGCGACGAGCTGATCAATTTCGATGAATTGCTCTTCAAATATCAGTCACACCCAATACAGGAGATTGCGGAAGTTGCAGAGACGCTGCTAAAAAAGATTCAACTCAAAGGTAATAAAACCAGCCAATTTGGCGTACTAGAACCCTCAGCCCATTCAAATAAAAATTTCAAATTACCCTTTCAATCAAAAGCAAAAGATAGATATTTAATATGGTCCTGATTCGTTGACAACTTGAATGATAATACTGATAACACCGCAGTATCTTATTTGTCAAACTTGATAAAATAATGTATACGCAATCCTAAGATCCATGGTTACCGGGTCAGAGCTTAATTTCTCCATTGCAACAAAAATCTGTAGTGCGTCATGACTATCAACATTTGCCAAAAACAGCAAAAAAAGTTGCGCTACTTGGCGAGGGCCGCGTATGAATTTTTGTGACAAAGAAACACTTGTACTTTTTGGTATTAAAAATAGTTACTTTTGCCCGCGTTATCGTCATTGTTCCTGGGCTTGAAAAAAATCACCTTTGTTCTAGGTGTTCCAAGTTATGCGGATTTGTTTCGAGTTTCATATCATATAAACTTCCATTCCAACAAAAGAAAAACTTTTTGACCGATTGTTGAAGCAAAGCTCGACAAAAGCGTTGAGAGCATTCAAACATTTTTCTATTTTCAGCCACAAAAGAAGCAAGTGACGATTGCGTCGATTTCCCAGAACCTGCAACGCAAAGCTTCGATGAGAAAAACGACGAATTAGATAACCTGGAAATGATCTTGACAAATCCCGCTGATGTGATGCAGAGAGCTGGCTCCCAAAAACATATTATGATTAGTTATTGTCACCAGCAGAAAGCAATTGTGCGTAATCTTTTTGACGATCTTCGTAAACAACTCAAGACTCCGATATGGATAGACGATGAAAAAATGCATAAAGGTCAAGACATAGCTAATGAAATGGCACAGGCAGTAGAAAATGCCAGTTGGATCATCTGCTGTTACTCGGATGCTTACGGAGCAAGCGAAAACTGCATGCTAGAATTCCAATACGCAAACTATTGTCACCCAAAGCAAATTGTCTACGTTTGCGTACAGGAAAACTGTCGACCAAAAGGGAAACTTGGCCTTCATGTTTCAGGCAAATATTACTTTGACCTGTCTACGCCGAACAATTACAAGCAAAACATCCCGAAACTTCTGGAAAAACTAGAATCGAAATAACCTTCCGAAGCAATCTAGCAACCGGACTCTGGTTCATTCTTAGAGGATGAACATCGATATATATCTATCCTTTTCTTTTTCATTTGCTGTTACACCGGATGAAACCTTTTCAAATTACCCTTAATAGCTTACAATTAAATTTTCAATCGCCATTAATGGCTCAAGTTACTATCTAGTGTTTCGGGAAACTTTTACAAGTCATCATAACTCATTTAGATAGTTATAAAACTTACCCCAGCATACGTATACCTTTTGAACTGAAAAAAAATAATCATAAAAATTGTGCATATGATTTAATAACTAAGGTACAGCTTTGGCATTTTAAACCAGTGTATATAATGTTTTTAAAAAAATGATTTGGTACGCTTAAAAAATTATGGCTTTGGAAAACGATGCTTCAATATATTTCAATTAAACGTGTAAAAAATAGCCTTCGAAACTGTAAAAATTTATAAAAAAATCCAAGTTTGTCAAAACTCTCGATAAGTATTCGTCAATTAGGAAGATGAGCGCCGTTAATAGATCAATTGACCTGACCAACTTGATTATAAAAACTGCTTTTACAATTTGTATTACTTTTTAAATTAACTCCATATTACCTCAGAATCTTCGGTGAGCTTGTGCTTAACACCTGCTTATATACCATATTTTGCTCACAACTGTTGTATTTTGTGTATCAGGAATTAAAAAACTGTAAAATATCTCAATATATAATTTATGATAGTCATAATTATATTTTCTTACGTATTATTTGATAACTAAAAGAAAATTTTGTTCAAAATTGTTCTGTTTAGTTAAAAAGCTCTTTTATGTTTCAAGAAAACACAAAATTTCAAGCGCGAAGTTCTTAGAAGGGCAATCATTCGTAGAAAGTGACAATTCGTAACAAAGCATTGGCAAGTAGCATACGCGCTTGCTCCGCTGCGCTTTCATCAGGCACGAGAAAAATACTGTGTGTGAATCAGTATTACCAGTATAATCTACTGTTATGAATTGTCACTTTTTACGAATTGTTGCCTATTACGAGTTGCCGCTTGTTACGAATCGTTGCCTCACGAAAGTTACCCGTGTCGAGGCGCTCGATTCATGTTTCGACTCTGAAAGTCGAGCACGTGCAGTTTTGCGACTGAAATTCAGCGATTGAAACGCAGATGAAAGTCGTGCACAAAGTGAAAACATACCCAATTTCGGTCGAGAGAGTCAAAACATGGTTCGAGCACAGTCGAAACATACCACATTTCTGTACAGAAAGTCGAAACATAGGTCGAGCACAGTCATAGCATACGTCGAGCACGGTCGAAACATAAGTCGATCACAATCGAAACATATTCGATTTCGGTCGAGAGAGCCGAAACATAACTCGAGCACAGTCGTTACCGATAAGAAAAAAATTGTCACCACAAAGACTGGGTCAAACAAAATAAATTTTTTGTTGGGTCAAGAAAGTCGAAACATATCAAAGTTTGGTCGAAAAAGCCAAAACATACCGAAACGTGGTCGAGATGGTCAAAAAATACCAGTTTTTGGTCGAGAAAAATAAATCATAAATCGAGCATCTCGACCAGGGTGTCAGGTAAAAAAAAGTTCTTCAACGTTCAATTGATCAACTGATTCCAGTACGCTCGAAACAGTTGAAAACAAGTAATCAAAGCACTTATTATATACCTTTTTAGAACTAACCAAAATTTTTAGAACTAACCAATCATGATTCACTACTATAATTTATGATAAATTGTAAAATTGAAACTATTCATAGTTTCAGCCAGATAAAGAATAATTTAATTTCGAAACAAGTTGCCTCTTTCTTTCCTCTAACCTCGCAAGAATACCAGTATATACTAGATCTTTTGAGACTAGGAACTATTAGAGTGAGTAAGATTGGGATCAGTATTACACTAAGAAGTTGCACGAATTGATCTGATCGAAAATAAAATGGCATGACGAAAATAATATTTCCAGACGGTATACCTTATCCGAATTACTATATGAGAAAGCCACCCGGACCTAAACTCAATGCTGATATCTTCTCAGTTTTGGTTCTCTGTTGTCGTGTCTATGCGTTAGAGAAAGTCGAATTTTGGCTTCTTCTTCATTAATATGTCTAGAAAATTTATCACACCAATCTGTCCGGAAGTTGGAGTTGGTTGCATTTTCATGAAAGTAACTTGGTTTCAAACTTTTTTGTTAACTTTTGGTGAACGAAAGGTTCCAACTGCTTTGTGTGCATGTCATGACTGTGCGTGCGTCGGCGCTTAGGTTATGTGTCTAGAGCTGAGGATGTAGGGGGTTCTTGCAGATCAATGAGGGTTCAGGATCTCTTAGCGATCTTGAAGAACGCCCCCACAGACACAAGGTTCAATCGTTCTAGGGACTTATCAGGGGCGGATCTAGGATTTTCTCGAGGGGGGGGGGCGGATTTCCAAAAAAAAATCGAAAATTTTGACGACCTTT